AACCAGCTCATGCACGGGCAGAATTGGGGCGGCTGGTAGAGGAAGGCTTTGCGGTGGTCCTCCCGACGGCGCATCCCTCCGATGAACGTTCATTCTCTTCCTCACGTCTGGCCTTCTTCGACACTCCCAACTGCGGCCGAGTGTCCTGTGTCACCTGCGTTTGCTCCCAGACTCTCTTCGATGGGTCAGATGCTGGTCTTCCTCCTGGAGGTCCCTGATAGATCTTCTCTTTGCTCAGCAACCACTTCTTCTTCAGCTCGGAGACCTCTTCCGTCTTGGTGATCAGCTGGTTCCTCCAATACTCCAGCTGCAACGTGTGCTTGAACGCCGTGATGACCAGTTTGCAGTACATTGGGCAGCCAGAGAGGTGCGCTTAGCTCCCACCAGAGGTTCATGACGTATCCATTGCCCACAGGCGCAAGCCCGGCTCAGTCTGTCGAGGTCCAAGAGACAACCTGCCCAGCGCCCTGGTTTGTACCACCTAACGCGCTCTCCTTCTTGATAGGCACAGGTATTATAGTCTGCCACCTTCCCCTCAAACACTTCCATGAACGTCTTCACCTCTGGGAGCTCCCAGGCAGGTCCTTCTTCTTTGGTATCCGACCCTGGAGGGTTTTCAAGGGTCCCCGCCTGCGGCACTCTACGCTTTCTCTGGTCCTTCAGGATGGTCCCGATGATCTCCACCGACCTGGATGCCAAGAGGGTCCCAACGTCAGCTTGCTGTTGTTCTTCAGGTGAGTTCGACGGGAGTCCATAAATGTGCTGAAGCGACCTGACAGGCGGCGGCCCACGGTTCACCATGTTCCATCTCCCCCTGCTGAACGTGTTGCATGGGAAGCCTGCGTGACCTGCATCGAAAGCTGAAGCCTCAGCCTCCTCCCTGAGTTCCATGAACGGATGATCTTTTGTCAGGTCCACGTCCCCTTCCCCCAACTTGTCAAGGCTATACACTTCTAGTTGAAGTCCCTCCTTCTTCGCCATGTCCTTCAAACACCTGCCTAGTACATCGTCCTTGCCACTAAACAGGTGCACAAAGCGAAAGACACGAAGCTCCTGGTACTCCGGGAAGTCCCTGGCGTTTCGCAAGGCCTCACGGATTCTCTCGGGGAGGTCCTCCAACTTCGGTTGCTCGAGGCTCCTCGATGAACTCGCCATCAGCGCCTCGTGTCCGAACCGCCCCAAGCTTCTTCGAGCCCAAGGCGCTCGAGCGCTCACCTTTGTCCGTTCCGTCCTCGTCCAAGTCCTCCATCATCGACACGGCTCGACACGCACGAACGAACGAGGATCGAAGCGACACGAAGTGCAACCCTCCCCCCCCCGGCTCACCCTCCTACACGATCGAAACCATCGACGAGCGTATCTACCCCCTCCCCCCTCGCCCTCCCGCGAGAGGCGAACCGCACCCTTTCTCCCACGGTCCCTCCGGGACCACACGGGGGATGCAGTCTTCTTGGGGCACTCCGCATTCGGATGAGCCGGTGAAAAGCAAAGCATGCACTTGTGCACACGTTTGATCTTCCCTTTGCACTCTGAGCCCGCGGCAAGTCCTGCGCAAGGTCCCACGCTCTTGGCCCAGCTGTAACAAATCTCTTGGCCTACTTGATCTTTGCCTTTGCCCTTTCCCCTTCCTTTGTTGAAGTCACCCTTCGACCTTTGCTCCCTCAGTGATGAGAGCTCTTCACGCTCGGCTGCCCACCTCTTCCGTTTGGCCGTTCGCCTATCACGATTGGCTTGCCGTCTGCGTTCACTTCTATCTTCTCCATCAACTGGTTCTGCATGAGGTCCCGGGTGATGTGCCATGGCAATGCTCTCGGCTGGCGGCCTAGGGGCCCCGTGCGCCCCACTGGCTAACCAAGCTGCCGCACCTGCTCGTTCCAAAACGTTTCGTCCAATGCCAAGGCTCTGAAACAAGCTGTCCACGGTTCGTCCTCCGTGAACTCTCTCGGAGTTGCCCCCGCGGCTACCTCCAGGACGATGTTCCTCCGGATTTTCTCCAGCTTCTCCGCCCTTGCTTTGTCGTCTGCCTGAGCTATGAGTCCCCAAGCTTTGGGCCACTGCAAAACCAGCTTCTCAATGACCTTCTCATAGAGCTGAAGGGCCGCCAACGTGACTATGTTCAAACAGATGCACGCAGCTTTGAAGACCCTCCAACTCACCAACCATTGTTGCAGGTTCTGCGGGCCGGGCAACTCCTTCATAACAAACGAACCATCACCTATGGGTATGAAAGCACGAAATTTCTGGTTCTTCAACACCCTCCTACACCGAGAAGTCCACGTATGGGGGCTGCTTTTGCACTGCCACACGATGATGCAATGCAGCCAACTGCGCATCTGTCGGTTCTTCTTCTTCCTGAGGTGGGGCACCCATCACAGCTATATAGCGTTGCGTCCATTCGTTAAGCTTCAAGGCATCAGGTAGCCTGGTCTCCGAGTCGTCCGTCTGGTCAACCAGGTTTGCCATCTTCAACAAATTCTCTTTGCTTCCGGAGGCACTTCCTCCTCCCGCTGTCCTTGTCGACGTTGCTGCATCAACATGTCCTGTACCATCAGGAGGTCCCCCGCTGCTGGGCATCATCCAAGGGTCTTGGTCTACAAACCTGCTTGCATCACCTCCTCCTCGAAGATGAATGATCCATCTGGCATTGCGCCAAACCAACCCCACTTGAGCCGCCTGAATGGGGGTGAAGTGTTCACCGGAAGGTAGCAAGGCAGCTCCCACGATTTGAGGGATGGTCCATGGTGGCATGGCAGCCACTAGACGTAGATCGTTTCCTGGATCTTCGGCTACATGAAGGAAGGCGGACCAGACCTCATCGGACACCTGCAGGCTCGTCAGGAGGTCCGGAACTGTAGCCAAAGTAGACGCGTCAGCCTGGCTCAACAGCACCATTCGGTAGGCTCGCGCCCCTTTAAAAGAAAATGGTCTCAGACCATCATACTGAGCCAGGCTGAGGTTGAACTCTTTTTCAGTCCCCCCCACCCTCCATTTACATATGGCTCTCTTATGTCCTTCAGTTCATGCTGAACTTCATCAAAAACCTCCCAGCGATCGAGCGGCTTGACATCTCGTGCCAAGCTCACCCGCGCCTCAGGCTCTGCTTCTTTGCTGGGAGACCGCTGTCCTGTGCGTCAGGGAGCTCCGTTGACGGGAGCCAGACTCGAGTACCACTGGAATCGTCTGGCAAGGTGAGTCAGGTTTGCGTCATTTATCAATCACCAAGTCTCATCCATGATCCCAGTTGACTGTACATCTCACTCCAAGTGTGGAATGGAGCACCAACCTTGAGCAGCTAGGATCCCTGACGGCTGGCAGCACGCTCCATCAGAGCCAGCGGTGCAGGTCGACGCTTCTCCTTCTTCACTGGCCTGGGTTCAAACAGTACAGCAACTAGCTAAGAAACCCGGACCTGACACACTCATAGACTCATCATAGACGCGTAGAAATGTGCCCTCAGTCGACATCAAGTGATTCGCACTTGGTTCGCTGCGGCAGCTGGGAAGGCGAGGACGTCTGGCCAAAAAAAGCTCGTTCACTTAGCATACTCTGTGGCCCTAACAGCAGGACTTTCTTTGGATAGGGGTCCGTGCCCTCTAAACTCTCACATTCACATACTTCTACTATGGCTTGCCTCTAGGTGGCCTTCCATGGCTGTCTTCTGGCGGGGAACGCTGGGGAATTGGGCCATAGGGTGGATTTAGACTCCGCCCAGCCAGCGGGCCAACCATGCAGGGTGCCACGAGGCGCTGTTCTCGTAAGGACGAAGTGGTCGTCGAGGGTGAGGAGGCTGCGATGCCTGAGCAGTTGGCAAAAGTTGCACAAAAAATGTACAAAACACAACAACCGAAACTAGAACAAGAACATGAGCCGCTTTCCCCTTAAGCCAACGAGCACATGCACCAATATCACCAATGCATGCCAATGTCGACGACTGACTGAGCACTTCACCAGTGTGTGGCGTGAGGGCCTCCCCAAACCTCAACTCAAAGGAGGTCGCCGCTCGTGATTCCTCGTCCCTCACAGCTCGCGAACTAGCTTGAAAAAGGCATGTAAAAGCCCTTGGTACAAGACTTGGGTCACACCCAGTCCGACACCCACAAGATGAAGCAAAGGAACGGCCCATGTGTCAATTTACTCTCCAGCTTTGGCAGCAGCGGCGGCGGCAGGCTGACCTCCGGTGGAGCGACACTGCAACACATCAGCGTGACTGGCATCGAATTTGTGAAATTAACTTCTCATGCGCGACAAATACAAATCTCACGCTGGACAGGCCCAGCCGCTGCCCCATCTTCGATGACTGAAATCTTTGGTCGGCGTCCGGTTCAACCTCTGTATGTCCACAAGCTGTGATAACCAGCAGGATCCCGAACCAGCTTAGCCGTTCACCATTGATTATCGGCCATCATCCCCCTCAGTTCTTCCCAATTGAGTGCCTGGTGAGCCAAGTAAGGGCCAACAACGGCCTCTGACATGGCGTCACGCGCCTCACCAGCGAGGTGATGTGGACAAAAGGCAGGCCGCACCGGTTCCCCGTTGGGGCGGTGTTGCGGGGGTTCCATCCCATCCGAGAGGCATGGGTTTTCAGCACAGGATCAAGGGGTTGTGAGCTTCCTGAAAATGTGCCTTGCCTGGCTCCAGAAAACCCTGAAGCAGTCTCACCAGAGTAACAGGAGAAAAAGGACAAACAGGAACAAAAACAACCGTCGGCAACTCGCAAGGGAATGCATTTTTCCAATACGCGGCAGCGCGCAAGCTCCAAACACACGGGAGATCGGTGATCGGAGCAAACGTGGGAAACTTGAAGTCAACAAGGTGTTGTTCGGATTTATGTTGCCTATGTTGGTGGTTTGTGTCTGTTCAGGTGGGACGGTAGTCACTGCTGCATTTGGTTGGCAGTGCGGGGGTACTGTCAGGTAAGTGCAATGTTGGAGAGATTGCAAAGGTTGGTTCTTGTGTTGCTATTCTGGGATCTGTCGTCCTCATTTGCTGGTGCGACAGTCTCACAGCTTCTCCTCCTTGATCTCCTCCTGGTGCGAATTCAGCCCCACCCCGCACAAGCCCAACATTTAAAACATGTTAAAACTCTAGATCTCTACTGGGATGCATCCTCCAATGCTTCACACATCTACGAGGCATTTGGATAATGTATATATACATAAGTGTGCAGAGCTGTCTCGCAGTTGCAGCCCACCACTTCTTCCTGACTGTAACCTACCCACCCCGCAGTTCTTGTAAGCTCCACATCGAGCCGCACTTGCAAAAGTTGACATTTCAACGATCACTTCGGTGAAACACAGCTCCCCAAATCATCGAAACATACCAGCCACATCCATTTCACCGGAGAGCGAGAAGAGATGCTATCAAGGACATGCGTTTCATTGCGTTGTTCATGCTTCGTTGGGCGTTCGTCTCCTTCTTCTGGCGTTTGGCCACGCTGGGCAACGCCACGCCGTTTTGGATCATCTCCAAGGCCTTGGAAGCACATGCCGCGGTGGCAGATTCGCCAAAAGAACGAGAAGTTGGGGTGGTGATTTGTGGTTTCTGTGCAATTTGCTCTTTGTGGAGGATAATCATAGGGCCAGGGATTTTGGCAGGTGTTTTTTCAATCATTGTATAACCGATATTAAACGTGGTTTGGGAGTGGGTGCGAGTTCGGTGGCAACGGGCAACTGATGCGAACTAGTCCAGCTCAAGCGCCAGCATGCGCCACAGTCTTTCGACCAAAGGTTCGGCGAACTCGTCCAAAAACCTGCCAAGGATCAAAGACTGTTAAGTGGCTGTCTGAAAAACCTCGAGGGGCCCTTCGGCAGCCTATGTTGTCTCAGCTCGTCATACCATCACTGTCAACTTGAGCAATAATATGGACAAAGAATGATAAAGAATTTCGAGCGGCCAGGAATATCGGACCATGTGATCAATCTTGAGGAGGAATATGATGTTGTCTCATGATTTGTCGCGCTCCGCACCCGCCTCTCTAGCTCGGCGATCAGAGGGTCTGGCTGCGCCGCGCCGTTCACTCGGCGGATGATCAACTCCACCAGGTCGGAGGCTTGTCCGCCCATGTGGAGGTCCTAAGGGACTGGTCGGCGTAGTCATGCATGGCCGTGGTGACCAGAAAGGTTTATGGGACCCATGGGACCTTCCGTGGTCTGTGGCTCGCTGCGTATTAATCTTTCTGAGCAAGCCACAGACCACCCCGTTGTTTGATCAACTTTCTGGCCAAAGCTTCAATCTTTCTCTCCAGCCAGGGTCTCAGCTTCCGCTCGAGGATTCGCTCATTGCGCAAGTAGGCCGTGTCCAGCTTCATGGTGAAGAGCCTCCCAAGAAGGAGACATTTCTGGACCTCCCATGATTTCTGGTCCACTTCTTCCAATTCCAATTCTTCCACGGCCCAACTGAAAGCAGACCACTGATCAAGCCAGGAAGCTCTTCTCTCGGCTCTTCCTGGACCTGCAAGGCCCAGTGGAATTCACCGGGTTTTCCCGTGTTATCAGCACTGCAGAAATGAAAGGCTGTAGGTGAGGAAAGGGGCCGCTTCTACAGCCCGATGTGGCTGATGCAGCGTGGATGTCTCACGTGGTGATTGTTGAGAGGACGTGAGGGGATGTTTGGAACCAGCTGACGAAAACCAGTTGGAGGGATGGAACCAAAAGGAGCATCTACTAGTACATCAACAACGACGACGATACATGAGGTAATGTGTGTGTGTACAGTAATTGCGTTCGCCGTAAAATCACAGTAGTAGTTAGTCTAGTGACTAGTGAGACATCCACCATCATCTGCTGGGGCCACTTAAAGCCTTGGGCGAGCGGCGAGCTGCGAGCTCATCATTCACCTTTCCCCACCTTGTGCACTAGCTCCATCAAGGCCCGATTCTCCGCCAGCTGCGCCACGTCCGCGCTGCGGACCACGCCATGCTGGGCCTCCACCACAAAATCCAAAGAAGCCAAAGACCCGTTGTGGACCGATCCTTCTCAACGATCTTTAATCAATTTTAATCCAAATCAAACTATATAATGAGACTGACTAAAGTCTTAAGTCATAAGTGGTTGATGACCAAGGCCTGGAAAAAGGAAAAGGGCGTGGTCCTAAAGCCTCACCTCCAGCTTCTCGAGCTTCTGCTCTTTCCGTTGCTTTTCTTGCCTCAAGGCAGAGATGTGCAAAAGAACTGTTTGAGCTGGACTGAGCATGTCAGAGAGGTGATGAATGCTTCCCGTCATCCAGCTTGGCAAGGGGGGAGGAACATGCAAGCAACGACAAGGAAAGAGTCAGACTCGGCATTGCATCTTGCAAGCCAGTCAGGTCAGTCAGTGTCTTCTTGTGGAGGATCTACGTCGCAAGCATAACAGCTCTTTGAAGTGGACCAACTTACAGTTCTTGGGGCTGCAGCAGGGAATTTCGGAACCCACAAAAGCATACTGCTCGTTGACCACGGACAGATCGAATCAAAGCCAACCGTTCCACCCCATAGACACGGTTCACTCAAAAACCTTCACCGAGGAGCAGCTCTTGTTCCTCTTTCTCCCGGTCTTCCTCATCCCTCTTCCGCTCCGCTTCCCGCAGGCCCAGCTCGGACACCTCGACGCCTTAGCATCCCAGTGGGGTCGCGCACCCGGTCGGTTTTGTTGAAAAAGGTCCCACCAAGTTGATTCATGGTAAACGACTTCTTAAAAAATAGTCTAGTACTGAAAAATACTGAAAACATTGAAAACAAATCCTTCTTCTCTACTCCACACCCCTGGCCCCCCAAAAAACAAAGCTCCTTAAACATGCTCAACACATATGCGATCATCTGCCCTATGCTGTTCTCTTCTCATCCTCTATGGGCATCTCACCAGCAGCACCAGCAGTGGGCAACCACCCAGCACCCGCAAGCCGCAAGCCTCACGCGGTGGCCCTTTCACGAACCTGGAGGCCTCGAGAGGCCAAAAATCGACGTAGTCGAACTGGTTCCCTGTGAAGAGGAGTGCGCCTCTTCCCCGCCATGACACGGAGGTTTTGATTTTAAGCTCACCCCAAGCATGAGACTCATGAGACCGGCCCCACCCCACCAAAACAATCCAAAACATCTGCCCAGCATCGCTCCAGCTCCTCAGAGTACTCCGCTTCTCTCCAAGCCTTCCGCTTTCGGGCCCGCTCTACGCCTCAGCAGTCAGCACCTGCATTGAGCCCATCCACAACAAGCAAAGAACCAGGCCATGCCAGTCTTCATCTTTTCGGGTTTGAAGCTAGATTCATTGCATTGATAGTCTTATCAACAAGGTGACAAGAAAAATGACTGTCATTTCCTAAGTTCTGGCTAAAGGCCTACAGTAATCATTCTCGCAGCTACAACTCTGCAGGACTGGGAGGAGCCAGCAATTCTAGTCTACTGTACTAAGTCATCAAAGCTTCAGACCAGGAAACATGAAAACGCAGCTGTCCAAGCCGGGATTGTCTTGCTTCCATGCTGGTTAATGGAAAATTAACATTTGCGTAGCCACTTGATGCCGTCCAAATCAATATAAATCAATCCCCTCCAGAAATGTGGAAACCGTCTCCATCTCACCCTCACCCTCGCGCTCGCGCTCTCTCTCTCTCTCTCTCCCCCTCCCCCCCTTCAGCAGTGCAATTGTATTTTGGAAAGTGGCTAACCTGGCGCCCTTGCAAGGGTCTTTCAAAGGTCTCAGGGTCTCATTCAAGAGTGCTTCGAGGCCCTTGAAACTTTTGAGTTCAGGGGTGAGTTCATTTTGGGGTCTGAGCCCAAGATGAGTGTCTCCAAAAAACGCTGGGACGGTCTTTCCTCGAAAAATATCCTCGACTTCCGCAGCTCCTCCTCCGGTGCTTTCCAGCTGCGTTTGTCCTCCCGCGCCCGGAGCTCCTGCCGCCGCTGCTGGGCGGCGCCCGTGCCCTCGGCGCCGAACCTGACGGGCAAAACCCCCAACGTTCTGGCTGGATCCTGGGTAGGCAAGCGCCTCCAGAATCATCCAGAATCCTGAAAATATCTCTCCTATCTCTCCACCAAAGTTGCTCAATTCCTTCCTGCCTGCTAAATTCGCTTCCGTTCGCTTCCTGTGCTTCCTCCCTTCCGTTCTACTTTGCTTTATTTGTGTTTTTTGGGGGGATTCTGCTTTGAATATTCTATCCCTCTGTCTATATATTGATGTTGATCCGTCTCGCGTGAGGGTGGGCTTGGGCTTGCTTCCAAAGACCGGGGAACTGGGGAGATCATTGGGCATTGTTGGTCAAGTTTGAATTGCCGGCCACACTTGGCACAAATGTGTCTTTGCGGTGCTCAACAGCAAGCGCACATGCCCAATGAGCAGCCTCGCAGTCATGCAGTCTCATCTGTCTCACGATGCCAATTCCACCAATGAAGTCGTACGTTCTTGCCAGTCGTAAGGTGGTGATCGGGTTCTTAAGTTCTATACAACTTTCCTAGGGTGAAGTATGAAAGTTTATGTGTGTGTGTGTGTCTAGTCTATAATGCTGATTTTCTCAGCCAAGCTACAGCTCCTCGAGCTTGCCATCGACCAGTGCTTTGCAACTGACCGCCTTTCGCTCCAACTCCCACTCCAAGTCTTCGTCCTTGGCGCTTCACGGATGGACCGTCGTCCGGTTGACCGGTCCGACCGTCCAGTGCGATTCCTTCACCCGTCCGACCGTCCGACCGTCCGGTAGAGCGGTGCCAGGAGTCAGAGCTGACTCGAAAGACCGCCTTCTGCGAAGTCTTCCACTTCAGAATGAAGTGTTCGGTGTTCTCTTCTAGAAGCACCTGCACGATGCACTGAGTGCCAGCATGCGAGTCAAACAGAATTTGGAGGTTGGCGTCCTAAAGTTATTCGGTGTTGCATGACATGCTGACCATTGCAACATAGTTACGTTCCACCCTATCTTTGGCAGTGGAGGGCGGGCTTCCCCAGTCGCAAGTGGAGTCTCATTCTTGAACAAAAGGCGATGGCGGTCGCAATGAACCAATCCACTGTGAAATGCACAGTATGTTTGAGAGCTGTTTCCATACGTTCTTGCAGTCAGTCATCATCGAAATTCTGAAGATCAGAGAGGGCCTTGATCTCCTGCCCACCAATCCTTTGCTTTGAAAGACCTCAGGACAAAGCGCACAGAGATCAAAGACCCGTGGCTGCTGACCAGCACAGCCCATCCCACATCGCAAGTGTGGTCCTGAAGTTGGTCAAGCATGTCACACTGTTCGCGAAACCAGGGCAATGGACACAGATCAGATCAGCCTACTTTGCTCTACTTACTCCCAAGCCACCAAGCCAAACCGAGTTACAGGTCACAGCCTTCCAGGCAGACTCAGGGTCTGCGAACTGGGCTACGCCGAAGCTCATGGGTTTGCCTCCCACCGGTGCCCGGAAGAAGCCAGCGCCGCGACGAAGGCGTCTTCTCTTTAACGGGGCGGCCCGAGACTGTTCAAAGCCAAATAAATAGCATGTATCATGACTTGGGTGGTCAAAGTGAAACCCTGAAACAACAACAACAACAAGGTACAAACAAAAACTGCAACCCCGTTACACCACATCTTCTTTGTTTTTCTCTACAAGGGGGTAGAAACAAATTCTGCAACCCCGTCGTTGTTTTTTGACCCCCCCCCAAAAAAAAAACAACCGGACAACAAGCACTTTACTGCTACTACTACTAGTGGTACTAGTGCTACTACTACTAGTGGTAGACACTCCCCACCCCGGGACGTGTGGACAGTGCGCGGGGCGTGTGCGGAGGCGGAGGGGGTGGAAACCCGGTTCTCAATCTACGCACTGAAAATCAGTCTTTTCTTGGAGACTCCTGGAAGTTTTTGGATTCCAATGGAACAATATGGTCGATTTAAACGCCTTCTTAGGGTCTATGAAACTCCTCTGAGGGTCATGCTACTGGTGATGCTTATTGTAACTGGTTAAGTAAACCCTGTAAAACTTCTACTTAGAACCTCTACCACACCCTAGAAACAAAAACTGCAACCCCGTGGTTGTTTTTTGGACCCCCCCCTTCCAAAAGATGTTGTTGTCTCTACCCCC